TATGCCTATTCCCATCATTTGGGGTGTGCACTCTAGTTATTGGATAGGTTCTACAACGTGTAGGTAGTAGTATGGGATGCTATCTACACATGGCACGAGTAGGCTTTGAAGATACTAAAGTGAGTTCCCTAAGTCTAACGACTATTATGTGAAAGTCCTTTTATGTGCTTGAATGTCTCCAAAATGGTTTCTTAAAGAATGTTGGTCCATTGATGTTATGTTGTAAAGGACATGTCCTTATCTAAGGTAATCTTGGGGAACACTTAAGTGTGCTTGAAGAGGTTGTATGGGCGGTCACTTCTTGTCTTACTCAAGTGTGTCTTAAGGTTATATTAGGTAGAGGTCCTATGGTAATGAAATGACATGTGTTCTTTTAAAGTTAAGCATGGATTGTATATGGACATATGTTGAGTATATGTATGGTTTGGCTATGGTCTTGTATGTTAATGTTGACTTGTATTATGTCTCTTGTACTTGTAAAGGAAAGGTTTTATCAAATTGATATGAAAGCATTTATTCTTTGAAAATGTCCTTTTTGGCATGTTTTTGCATGGTCTCCATACTTAGTACTTAATTGTGCTAACCCCTTTCTTTCGCTTTTTTACTAAAGTGTAGGGATTTGGAGATGATGACATGTCATGGCTATTTGATAGGTTTCTAAGTGTTGGAGATGAAGACTTGGTGAGTCCTCATAGATTCGAGGGCAATAACCAACATGTTCTTTTTTTATGTCTCTCTAGTATTTGCTTAAGTTTTGAGTGGGCTTAGTCCCAATGTTATATTCAAGTATTAGATGGTTTTGAGACATATTGTATAAAGTCTAGAAAGTCTTCCGCTTGCTATTGTTTTTTTTTTTGAAATGTCTTCTTGGTAAAGAAAGTCTTTAATTCCTTATGATTTTAGTGTCTATGCGATGAATGAATGCTAAGAGGCTTGTATTAGACCTCTTCGAGGTCGAGTACGCCGGTTACGACTAGGGGGTGCTCTCGGGTCGTGACACCAACTATTGTATGTACTTGTGCATTCGTTGTTCCATTTCTTTACATGAACTTGGTCTCGTTTGTTAGTAAACAAGTGCGCTACCTGCTATCGTATAGATTATGAAATACTGAGCAGTCTTCTCTATGACTTCCTTTTCCTCAATTTGATTTTTCTAAGTTATAAAAAAATTGTTAATAGTTGATTTGTGGGGGGACGGTTTGAGCAATGGATCGTTGGAGGTTGGGATGCATGTTGACACCTTTTATCATGGCAGAAGCTATAAGCCTTGCTAGTTTCTATAAAACCAAATCAATCAATCAAAAAAGGATAACCATAAGAACAGGGCAAGCGGTTTGTTCATGTGCCAATGATATATCTAATGTTAAATTAGGATGACGGAATTGCTTAAATCTATATTTACTGCATAAAAGTAAAAACATGGATAAAATTCGTAATCAGCAATATCACATCATAAGAACATCAAAAATACTTACTTAGTTCAAACAACGACATTTTATTTAGCTTCTTTGATTGGTAGACGTGTGAGCTAAGTTGTCAAATACAAAAAAAAATCTTATTAAACGACCAAACAAAGCATCCGTCTTTATTTGTCAACCCCAACCCCTTTATTATTAGTATAACTTACATAAATACCATAGTGTAAAACATAAATTACCTTATATCCCCATTGTTTTTATAATTACATAAATCCCATATTTTTTAGGCATTTTTGATACAGAATTAAGAATTCGGAGGCATTATTGTTGATACATTATGTATCAATTTGTTGCACTTATTAAGGAAAAAAAAAGGCTGAAAAATCAAATTAAGATCTCATAGTATCCATTTGTTGCACTAATTAAGGGGGAGGCTGAAAATCAAATTAAAATCCCATAAATTACGTTATTCCATTCCAAATTATTGTCAAGAATTCAAAATCCTATAGTGTAACAAACCAAAAAATTCAAAAATTAAATTTCTACTTCTTGTTCATCGTTCTCTCTGTTTCATAAAAACTTTTGTCGAAATTTTGGATAAGCGAGGCCAGTTATGAAGGATACAAAAGTGATGGAATTGTTGTTGGACAAACGATTTCTTTTGTGAATCTTCAAGTTCATCGAATATCCTTTCGATTTTGATTCAAGATTGTCGAAAATTTTGAGATTCAAAATTCTTCTCCAATTTATTGAAGATCCTTTCCGTTTTGATTCAAAATTGCTGAAAATTTTGAGTTTCAAAATTATTCTCCTAGTTCATTGAAGATCCTTTCAAAATAAGATTTTAGGTTTGAGATCGATACATTATTGTTTGGTAATTGTTATGTATCAGATACATTTAGTATAAATTTGAATTTACGTATCATAACTACAAAATTAGTGTATGCTACATTATTATTTATGTATCTTATTTTGTTTGAGATCATGAAGATCCTTTCAATTTAAATTGATAAGTGTTGGATTCTTACTAGATACATTAAATAAGAAAGTGTTGGCCATAAGATTTTAGGTTTAAAATCGATACATTATTATTTGATAATTGTTATGTATCAGATACATTTAGTATAAATTCGAATTTACGTATCATAACTAAAAAATTAGTGCATGATACATTATTATGTATGTATCTTATTTTGTTTGAGATCATGAATATCCTTTCAATTTAAATTGATAAGTGTTGTATTTCTACTAGATACATTAAATAAGAAAGTGTTGGTCATAAGATTTTAAGTTTGAGATCGATACATAATTGTTTGGTAATTGTTATGTATCAGATACATTTAGTATAATTTTGAATTTATGTATCATAACTAAAAAATTAATGTATGATACATTATTATTTATGTATCTTATTTTGTTTGAGAAATACTATATTTTAAAATAAAAAAAATACATTTTACATGTAATTGTTCCAAAGTAGCTTCTTTTTTGTGTGTGTGATGAATAACACAAAGTTTGTATATCAAGTACATTTATATTGAACATGATAAACACTAGTCAAAGATTCAATGACATTAGAGTTATGTATAAATACCTTAAATATGAACAGTATACATTGCATAAAACAAAGGTTATTGTAGCAGTGATGTATCAGATCAATAATAACACTAACAAAGACTAATTTAAGACTCAAAATAAAACGAGATACATTAAAAAATTGTATCTTTGATAGTGATGGCCGTGCTATGGCAGATCCAACTTTTTTTTTTGGACGTTTTTCAATAGTAGAAACATTAAAAGAAAATAAAAAATTTTCAATAAAAATTTTCAATGACAATATGATTAACTAAAATTGCAAAGGTTCAATAAGATTTCAATGAGGGCAGGGGGCGGAGGTAATTTTATTTTTATTTTTTAAGATGAAAAAAATAAAAAAAAATAAAAAAAGAAATCGAAAATTGAAGTGATGGAAAGAAATCTACCTCTTGAATAATTTGAAATCATTAATTCAAAATAGAAAAGATTTGAAATTCAAAAATAGATTATTGATAAACTTGAGAGAGACACCTTCTGAAATCAAAAAGAAGTGGAGAGAATTTAGGGATAAAATGGAGTGAAATGGGGAGTGGGAAACGAGGGTGTAGGCTGAAAGTAGGAGTGAAATATTTATGTATCCAGAAGATTTTATGAATTGGGGGAATTAAGGAATTTTTGAAATTTAAAAAAAAGGTAGGGATAAATGGATATTAAGGTAAGTAAATGTATGTATATAAGTAATTTTCCCTTATTTTAATTAAGTTAAGGAGTATTAGTAACCAAGTAAAGAACAGCATAAAATTTAATTGGGCCTCGAAACAAATACCAAACAGCGGGTCTAAACCAACAAAAGAAATGGGGCTAAAATATCCGAAAGAAGATTGCGATTTGCGAGAGATTTTGAAGAAATGAGGCTAAGCTTCATTCGACCCATTTCATGTTGCTCTGTTTCATCTCCAGCTACCTCACTGAAACTTCAAAAACCGCTATTTTTAAGGCCACCCACCTTCAAAACAACCATATCAGACCTCAAAAAATGGCACCTTTGGGCTAAATCCCTAACTTCTTCTGTGGGTTCCACTTTCTTGGAACTGGACAATGGCCCAGACTCCGAATTGTTGCTCAGAGAGCTAAATTGGCTTGTTGAAGATGCAATTCAAACACCCAAATCGTTCTTGCAACAACCCCAAAAAAATTACAATGATAATAGCTCTGTTTCAATTCGGGCGTCTTTGGAAGAACTATATATGTTGTGGAAACAAAGGGTAGAAGAAAGAAGGCCATTTCAGTATGTGGTTGGTTGTGAACATTGGAGGGATTTGGTTTTGAGTGTTCAAGAAGGGGTTTTGATTCCAAGGCCAGAGACTGAGCTGATTGTGGACCTTGTGGATGATGCTATTAAGGAGACTGATGAGTTGAGGGAAGGATTGTGGGCTGATTTGGGGACTGGAAGTGGTGCACTTGCTATTGGGATTGCAAGGATTTTGGGTAGTTCTGGTAGAGTTGTTGCTACTGATTTAAGCCCTGTTGCTACTGCAGTTGCATCTTATAATGTGCAGAGGTATGAATTGGAGGTTAGTATTTTATGCAATTTGCTTGTTGCGATTAGTAGTATGGCTTAAAATGAGCTTAAATGTAAGCGGGATTCATATTGCCGACCCCAACTTGTTTGGGATTGAGGGCGTAGTTGTTGTTGCTCTTAGTATGGTTTGCGATGAGCTTAAATAAAAGCGGGAATTCATATAACTGACCCCAACTTGTTTGAAGAGCTTAAATGAAGGCAGGGATACATAGAGCTGAACCCAACTTGTTTGAGAGTTGAGACTGAGGCATAGTTGTGGTTGTTTGTTGTTCTTTGAGATTTTTCTTCCGTGTTACTGTATTTTCACAGTTGATTTTCTCAAGCTAGTCGATCTTCAAAGCTAACTGCTATAGTTGTAGAATTGACTAGTTTAGCAAAAGTTGTGATTCTTAAATATTTGTGCCCAAAGAAAAATGAGAATTTGGGCTTTCTTGATCAGAAGTCAGTGAAATAAAGGGTAATCATTGATTAAACTTTTAGGGATGCAAATTTTGAATAGAGTATTGTCTTGTATGTTTGTGCCAGGAAAAAGTGCATGTAAAGCAAGGATCTTGGTTTGAGCCTTTGAGAGATGATGAAGGACAATTTGTGGGACTGGTCAGTAATCCACCGTATATTCCAAGCAAAGATATTGGTGGACTACAAGCTGAAGTTGGTAGACATGAACCTCAACTAGCGTTAGACGGTGGAGCAAGTGGTATGAATGACCTTATCCATCTCTGTGATGGAGCTGTTTCAATGTTGAAACCTGGCGGTTTCTTTGCATTTGAGGTAACTATCCATGTTCTGGATCAAGCGTTTTACTCTTTCCCGTTTAACTTGTTATTCAATAGTGGCAAGCTCTGGCACCTCATTGGCTCACAATGACTAATCTTACAAGATGAATATGAACTTCTCAATCATAATCTCTTACATTCTTTCTAGGATTCTCCACTAGTTTTGCAAGGGTTTAACTGTTTAAAGTCACTTAAATATTGCAAGAACAACTAACCTGGAATGAAAGATAGTAGATGTTTGTACGATTATTTCCAAATATTTATAGAGATACAGAATACTAATTTCTTTCTCAAAAAAAGAATGTTTGCTTATTGACTGTAAAAGAGGCATTTAAAGCAGGACCTGATAGGCATGTTTAGTTTTGTACTCTCATTGCCAAAAAATGTCCATTTTATATTTGCTTATTAATACCCTTTCATCATGTTGCTGCAGACAAATGGTGATGAACAGAGCAAATTCCTAGTCCACTACATTGAGACTAAGAAGCAAGGTAACTTCTCTAAAGTGAAGATGGTACCAGATTTTGCTGGCATCCAGAGATTTATAACAGGATTTAGAGGAAGATGAACTGTGGACGTTAGCCAAAGAAATTATACGAGGGAACGAATGTGGAAGAGCCAAGGGTTTGGAGGCTACAGATTCTGTTCTCTTGGGTTTGAACAATTCAGTTTTGATCGTTGGACTTATATTATCTCAGATTGTCTCTGATCTTGTGCAAAGAATCTTTTACAGTCTCTAGTAGGCAAACTTCAGTGTACTCTGAACAAAGTGATTAAAGGCTAGTGCAAGTTTGAAAACAAAAGAAAAACTATTAAACTCTTTGCAATTTATGAAAGAAATTAGGATCAGATTTTACATCAGCTAGTGTCTCAGTTTCGTTGAAAGATGATCATGATCTGACTACTCTTAATTATTCCCAAAGAACCATAAAATTTAATGCTTATTTGCTCAAACAAGGATCTAAAATTTGGATTACATTTGCACCCAATAGATCCAAATCTATCCAAGAGAAGAAAAACAGTATAATGTACTAAACTCTCGCTATGTCCAAATCTATTAACTTCACATAAAGGTATCAGAAGGAAAGAATGTAGATCTCGTGTTTAAATATGTGGAATGCAGCGGGATCAACAGTATGAATTGTCCTACAACTGCATTGCACAGAAGAGTACAATTTTTTTCTCTGAAATTTATTGCACCTCAAGTAGTCCAAGTCCAGGCAGGATCATCACATGTACAAAGATTTGCTCAGTTTTGTTCCTCCTAATCAATTCAAAGGATCTAGCTCAAAACTGAGCATTGCAATAGATAAATGCTGCCGGATAATTAGGATACAACATATCTAGTGTAATCCCACATAGTCTGGAAAGGGTGGTGTGTACGCAAGCCGGATAATTAGGATGATATATACAAATGGATCAGCTAACCAGCACATTTATACTTGTTTAGCCAAGCCAACAGATGAGCTCTCCCCTGATGAGAAGCTTGGTCATCTCCATGTTGATGCATATGAAACCTTAAGATATCACATCATGTCTTTTTATCCTCGTTTTTCATTTTGTCCTGATTTTAGGGGGCAGTGGATGTTGAATCATCACAAAAATGGCATCTGAGCATCGTAACCAATTATGATGTGCATGTAACTCATGAAGACCTTCTCCATTGCTTCTTTCCTTTCATCTGATTCAACTTGAAAGGACTCCAAGTTTTTCTCCGCTTTGGCGTCTCACAAAAAAGTCCAGATGCTAGAGCTTGCTGGAGCCACAGCTCGAATTCTTCATCTTCATCTGTCATCTCAGCATCAAAATCCCAAGGGTACCTACTTGAATTGGATCTCTGGGATGATTTCTCTAATCCAACCATGTTCACATGGAAACTCGGCCTATGGGTATTGGGTCTACAAGCCATGCCCTGCACAGAGGAGATTCGTAAATACAAGTACTAGCAGTAAAGGTCATATTTCCATCTTTTTCGTAATGACAGAGAATACTGACCTGACATATGGCCCATTCTGACACATCAAATATCTTGCCTTCAGCACAAACAAAAGCACGAGGTATCTCCGCCTGAATGACAAGTATATTAACAAACATTATGAAGAATGGGCATCTTATGGGTGCACATCGAGAGAAAGCATGATCAACAAAATTACATCTGAAAGGAAGGGAAACCACTGTTCATGTGCAGCTAGATGCCGACTTCAACTCTTTGGAGTTGACATTTGATAGTAGTGCCACACTAATTGGCCAGAGTGTTAATAATTTGATTGTACCCTCTAAGCACATAAATACAGTAATTCATAGACAGTTAAAAAGTGGAGAACCACCCTATATACCGTTAACTTGATCACATAAACCATGTTAAGATTTGACCAAGCCAGAGGAAAATCCTAGAGACAGATGATGGACTTGCTTCATTGCACCATCAACAATTCGAAGCTTGGTAATGAAGCCAAGGTAACCATTAAGTACAAGAGTCCAAATATTTTGAATGATCTAAGTATTTGTATTTTTTGATAAATTGCTTCCTACAATATCTATTGAAAATCGAACTTGACAGTAATGATCTAGTATAACGTGCAGCTTTTTTTGAGACTATAATATCTGTTTGGGGCCAACACTTTCAAAATTCAGAGATAATGGACCCAATCTTCTGCCCTTCTCCACTTAAATGCCGAACTTAGTTTGCATGGCGCAGGACTCGAACTTGTGACCTAAGTCACAAGTATAACATGACATTAAAATGTTTGCCTTGCTTTAAGAACCCATAATAAAAAATACTCTAATTCCAAGATTTTCAGGAAATGATAATCTGTTCCTAAATGACACTTTTATCTATCGAACTGGAAAATGAACCAAATTGAACACTACTTCGCATGAATCTTTCAAGATAATATAAATTACTGTGAAATTTAGATACCTTTTGTGGTCTATTAAAAACCAATGATCCTTTGTACTCTACCCATCCATCCCCATCTTTGGCTTGGTGATATTGACAACAATCCTGTACACCAGTAGCTTTCATTAAAATTTGAACAAGTGAAAGAGAGGAATAGCAACCATAATAGACAATTTAATGATTGCCCAACCTGGCACCATCTTGCCTTGACCTTTGTCCTATTGGTGCAGATCCAAATGTGTGAGTTGCCACATTTTGTGCAGTGGATACGCCTCGACTCTTCTGAGCAGTAGTTGGAGGATTCCTGCACCATACCAGATAAGTCATTTGTAAATATTAAGCCTTCCTTTTTAAGATCTGAAGATCAACTTTGGCATCTTATTTATGACCTCAAAGAAATTGACATGGAACTGGTGGCTTGCAAGAAAGGCATCCTTTATTTTTATTTTATCTTTTACATCCATCAATAACTATTTACATGAGTTTCCCTTAGATCATAAAGCTGAACAGGTCTTAATTGTGCCATTGAACTTCTCATTCCAAAAGAAATTCTTTCTTCTGAAAGTTCCAGGATACCATACAATTTCTGCATTCTCACTGAAATTGTCGTTTCACCTTGAAAGCTTATCACGCTTTGACATGGATCTTATTGGTTGTGCAACAAGTATTACATAATTTAATTTGGTGTCATCATTGCAAGAAAGAGGGCTACGACAGTTCAAATGAAGGACAGGGCAGACACTGAATCTAGTCTTTCCCAGTTAAAGAGATAAAACTAGCTGTCATTGAAACTTTTTCCGCTTGGATAATTTTGTATGCAGGATAAGATGTTGAATTCTGACAGGGTTACTGGAGATGAATGAATTTCAGTCAGACACTTGAACAGACCTGGTTGGACGTGCTAGGTGATTTTTGCATTACACTCTTAGATTCTTCCTTTCTGAGTTGCTCATCATAGTCTCGCTTCTTGACAGCATCAGCAAGAACCTGAAAAGCAAGTGATAGTATTAGAAAACCATAGCAGTACGTTTGCATCTCAAACAAATAGGAAGCAAGCCAACAATAGTATTATAACAGCAATTAACAGATAATTTAACTATTAAAATAGTGATCACCTCATATCCACATTGAAGTTTCTTAAATGATTCACTGGCAAGTGGACTTCCCATGTTTTTATCCGGGTGCACAAGCATTGCCTGCGCATTTCATGTATGTAAAATTAGCATCAATCTGAACTTCATCTAGACGGAAAGTAAATATATCATCGGATCAGACATGAAATTTTGTTATCTTGCGTCAAAGAATGGACATTTTGACGCCCAACTCAAACCCATCAAACTAATCAAAAGGTTTAAAATCTCTCAATTATATCGTCGCACACAATATTTCCAGAACCCCAAGTTAGTAGTATAGATCTGACATGTAAGGATATCAAAAAGACGGATGAGTAATCAACATCAATTTGATACATGCTAATTCGTTAGGGTAAATTGAAAATGGAACTCAGGTAGATGTCTCTCAAACTCATCACTTGGCTTTAAAGCCTGTCACATGATAGATAATGCATAGGCATGAAAAGAAAGTGGCACACCTTTTTACGATATTCTTTTTTCAACAGTAAAGTGTCAATTTTCTTATGCCGAGAAACCCCTAGTGCTTCATAATGATCCGCACTATCTAATATCCGCTTCATCTCAATTATTGAACTTGCATCTTCTCTAACTACTGGCTTAGCTGGGGGTTCTATCTGTTTGGTTACAACTGATGAAGTAGAAGTAGATGCAGCGTCGCTGAATGTTTTGCAAGCGTGAACCTTTTCAACCTTTTCAACCTTTTCAGGTTCATCCACAGGAACTGATGACTCATAATCTGTGGAGAAGTCATCCTCAGTAAATGTTTCGGACTCTTTAAAATCTTCAACATGTGTGCCTTCACTCAAATTGTCACACCACTGGAGTAAGTAGTTCACTAAGTCATTTGAGAGGAAAGCGAGATTTATTGAGAGACAAACTCCAAGCCATCCAACTCGAACTTTAACACAATACATAGCATATATGGTAGCCATTAATACCACAAGTCTTGCATGGTTTAATGAAAATAGATAACCTACAAAACCACAAAGACAAGGATCAAAGGATGCATACCTTCTGAAAATACAGTATATCATACATACATGTGTTGCACTGGGAAAGTAAACTTGAGAAATATATCAGATAGAAGCAATAGCATAAGGTGTGTAAAAACAAGTCAAACAAGTAGGATCAACTCCATAATATCATCTTTCTGTCCTATTTTAAACTTTTCTAATAAGTTGCATGTGTTTCCAGTACAGGGAAATTACAAACTAACAACATAGATTCAGTCCACACATCAAATACTCCAGATCCTATGTCTACAGCAAGATCCACCTGGATGGACTGAGACAATACCTTTGAAAGTCACCAGTCGGCCTTTGAATGTCCAAAATTATGCTTCCATGCAATTAAACTATCTGATTTTTTGCTAGCCCAGCCCAAGCTTAAAACAAATGCCTTACTAAGTTTTCTTCCCCATCAGAATGTTTTAGAACAAATAAAATAGTGATATATTTACTTTTGGTTGCATATAATATTTAAACAAAATCTCAGGTAATGAAGACTTGAAGAGATTCAAGTTAGCAATAGCATCACCCTTATAATGGTGTCAAGCTATCTAGTCGTGCGTCCATTTATTAGGTCTCACTTTTTACTGAATAGAATGGTTTCATCCATGAATGACAAGAATCAATGCACAAGAAATTAAGCAATTTGGTTGAACTACAAAACAAACCTACCTCCAACTATAAACAATACACCAGTAATCCAAAAGTTGGCATACATCCACAAAACTAAAATAGCGAAGAGCCCAACAATGAAAAGCCCAGGAGTGCAACCCAAATACTGAACAGCAGCCCCTGCAGCACCCTGAAAGGCAAATCAACATA